ATTTATCTACTGTTAGGCACAGGAGAACGAGTACTTCTCCTTAATATCGGAGCCGGTGCGTCAGGCTTCTGCGCACCATTCTGTCCAACAATCTCTTCTGGCTGAGGACCTTCTGCATTGGGTTCTTCCGAGAGGTTATCCGGAACATCATCTGCATCTACAAATGTTGATTCCCTCTCTGAGTCACCGTCATCTGTCTTGTGCATGTCCTTATTCATCACCTTCTCGTTGAATGTCACATCTCTGCACCTGATCACCTTCTTGTTTTCGTTGTCCCAAATGCGGTAGCCGAACTCGTCTTCACCATACCCGATGAATGTGCATTTCTTGGACTTGGGATCAGGCTCATTCCTGCCTTGATCACTTATATGCACATAAGCTACACAACCGAAAACTTTGAGATGTGAGAGGGTTACCTCCTTTCCGCACCATACCTCTTCTGGTATTCTGTGCTCCAATGGAACCGATGGACCTCGGTTGATCAAGTAAGCTGCTGTGTTGACTGCTTCTGCCCAGAACTGCTTCGGTAGACCTGACTGTATACGGATGCTTCTGGCTCTCTCTGTCAACATTCTATTCATGCGCTCAGCCACGCCATTGTGCTGAGGCGTGCTGGGCACGGTCCTCTCTATTCTGATACCGTGCTCATAGCAGAACTTCTTGAATCTGGTGTCTTCATACTCACCACCATTGTCTGTTCAGAACTTCTTGAATCTGGTGTCTTCATACTCACCACCATTGTCTGTTTTGAGTTTCTTTACCCTCAAACCGGTCTCATTCTCGACCATGGCTTTCCATCTTCTGAAAGCCTCAAACACTTCTGACTTTTCCTTCAGAAAGTAGACTCATACCTTCCGAGTGTGATCATCAATAAAAGTCACGAAGTAGTGTTTCCCACCAATCGACGTGGTGGTTGCTGGTCCCCAAACATCTGAGCGAACAAGCTCTAGCTTCTGCTTCCTAGGGGGGCTGCCACTTGTCTGAAAGTTGACTCTCTTCTGCTTTCCAAGTATGCATTCTTCACACATATCAATCTCTACTGATTGTAAACCTGGGAGTTTTCTTTTTGTGTGCATAATCTTCATCCCCTTCTGTAGCCTTCACTAGCCAGCTGGCTTACTGAGATTAAGTTCCTCTTCAGGTCGGGAATATACCTGACATCCTTCAGCTCCCATACTGACCCATTCAGCTTAATCTTCACTACACCTTTGCCAATAATGGCACATGCTTGATCGTCACCAAGATATACATTTCCAAGGTTTCCGGGGATATACTTCTCGAGGAATTCTTTCTGAGAAGTAGCATGTAATGATGCTCCCGAGTCCAACACCTAAGACTCTTCCTTGCTCTCCAAGGAGCATATCAACGCATCATCTCCTCCTGAGGTGGAGGCAATGTTCACATCTGCATTTGCCTCCCACTCCTCCCGTGCACTCCTGCACTGATTCTTGTAGTGCCCGGTTTTCCCGCACTTCCAACATTCGATAGCCTTCGAACTGTTGGGATTCCTGGATCTGGACCTCCTGCCCTCTGATCCATTTCCTCTGGTTGAATTTCCACCTCTTGACTCTGTATGCAATACTGAAGAGGTTGTAGCTTCACCTGACTCTCTCCGTCGGATCTCCTCACTGAGAACCAGATCACGAATGTCGTTGAACTTCAACTTTTTCTTTCCCGATGAGCTACTCACAGCTGTGACTGTAGCGTTCCAACTCTCTGGTAGGGAAGACAAAAGTATCAACGCCCTAACTTCCTCATCAACTCAATATCAACTGAACTCAATTGGGTCGTGACTGTATTGAGTTCATTGAGATGATGTGCTACCGGTGCACCTTCCGCCATTTTCAGATTGAACAACCGCCTCATCAAATGGACTTTATTTGAGGCTGATGGCTTCTCATACATATTTGAGAGTGCTGCCATAAGACCCGCCGTGGTCTTCTCCTTCGCTATGTTAAACGCAACATTGCGAGTTAATGTCAATCTGATAACTCCAAGGGCTTTTCTGTCCAGAAGATTCCAATCTTCTTCCTCCATACCCTCCGGCTTCTTCCCCGAGAGAGGCTGATACAGATTTTTCTGATACAGATAATCCTCTATCTGCATTTTCCAAAATCCGAAATCTGATCCATCAAACTTCTCTAATCTCACCTTTCCTTCATCTGCGGCCATGGCTCCCACTTGAATCTGACTTCCTCTAGATCGTTTCACGCTCTGATACCAGTTGTTGGGAATTTAACGCTGAAATCCCTAATGCAACGGAAACGCAGAATAGAAAAAGGTACACCAAGTTTTTACGAGGTTCGGCAACTGCCTACGTCCTCGGGAGCCACACAGTCAATTTCTTATTTAATCTAACAAGAAATTACAAATCAAGAGCAAATCTCTAAACTGAGATTCCTCAAACAAACACTGTAGCTACAGTGTTAATACCCACAATATAAAACCCCTCTTCTCTTTTCTCTCTCTTCTAAACCTTTTCTTAATCTCCCTCAACAGCCGTTGAAAGCTGGAGATGAACAAAGAAAATCGCTGCTGCGATTTTTGTGAGAACGCTGCTGCGTTTAAAGGGGGAGAACGCTACTGCGTTTGGGGTTTTTCACCGCCGCCAGAGAAAGAGGTCGAGGAGGAGGAGCAACAAACCCTAGGGCTCGGGGGGCTCCTTTTATAGCCGATTCGATGGGGGTTGGCGACAGCCTGTCACCAGCGCACGAGTGGGACGCGAGGGTCGAAAGCCTGAACGCGATGGTCGAACGCCTTGGACGTGAGGGTCGGATTTCAGCCGCGAGGGTCGCGTTCGCCCCAAACGAAGGTCGCGTTCGCTCCAAACGAGGATCGCGTTCGCCTCCGGGGGTTCGCCGTCGACTTCCTTGAGCTCGTCGGAGCTCCTCCGCCGTCGGAGGTTGGTATCCACCCCAACCTAACACATCTCACAGGAAAAAATCCAAGCAATCAGAATCCGAGATGTTGTATTTTTCGAGCTTATAGCATAGAAGATCAAGATCAAAGGTTGGAGCTGAGGAGAAAATTTCGAAGAAGAAGAAGAGTGAAAGAAGAGCGAGAAATATTGATCTCCCCATTGTACTTTTCTGCTCTCTGTAGAGGAAATTAAGTAGTCTTATGAATTATTTTATAGAGGTTTTAGCTTCAAATAAATTTTCTAAAAAAATTTAGATTTTGCAGATATGCTCCTCATTAAAATACATTATGAATTACTATACTTGGTTACATGAGGTGTATACAACCAGATTTTTGTTGCACGTGGTTAAAAAATTAGTGGATGTGGATTGATATTCATATGTAATTAGACAGTAAAAATGATAGTTATGTTAGGAATGAATTAATAATATTTCAAATTTGTATTGCTTGCAAATTTATGACAGGTTGGCGTCAGTTCACTTGTGGTTGTCCTCATGAAACCACGATCTCCACTTTAAGCCATGATCCGTGCGTGGTCTAGTTTAAAACTAGAAACAATCTATCTACGGTAAAAAAAAAATTAACCACAAAACATAATGACTAATGATAAACTCTGAACATACTTGGTAGTAAAAAGTGGGAGGAAAAAAATGGGGTCTATTTCAGGCTTTGGTGCCTAATATATGGCAAGAGATACAAGCGTCAATACTTCATTCACAACCAAGAAAAATTGCTAAAATCAAAGTATGAAAATATTAAGTAGTGAAGCAGAAACAGGGTTTTGTATGCTAAATACATTTCTATGCAAATTCAGAAAGGACAGCTGCAGAAAAGATGGATAAGAATTACAAGTAAAGGAAGAAAGTAGATATTGCACATAATTATAGTAAGTTACCCCCAAAAAAAAAGTTACTCCAAAAAGAAAAAAATACATGTTATTTAGACTGCAACCAATTTAGAACTTACAAAATGAACAAGGATTCCTCGACAATACCTATTATTATTTCATTGAATAAAAAGTATCCAAATTTACTGCTATGACAACAGCACAGCAAAGACTTCATACAAATTCCCCCCCCCGCCCCCCCCGCCACAAGAGTTATGGAAAATCGAGAAAGTATCCGTGTCTTAAGTCATAGAGGATTTGCATATTCTAATAGTATTCTATGTAAATTCTGCTCGGAGATGCAGAATTATCTTTGAGCTCATACCTCGATACTTGATTACATATACTTGATGTCCCTGGAAAACCTCCAATCTAGAGACTAAAATAAAATTAAGTACTAATATAAATCAAGGTCAAATCTTGTCAGGCTCAGGGAAAATGAGAACAATTATAGCAAAAAAGACATAGTTTTCCCTTAAAGTGTGTATCATTGAGGCAAATTTCGCTTAAAGCATATATTGATGTTGAAGAGGGGAAAACCATATAAGAACACAAGCAATTCAGACACCCAACTGCCCATGTTGCATAATAATCTCCTATGCATTATAAAATAACCTAAATAAAATTCCATGACCTATTAATAAACTGGTAAGACTTTGGACATTTTAAATCAATTATGCAGATATTTTCAATGGCGTACCACAGGAGATGCTTCTTTTATCTGATAATTTAAGAAAATTTGCAACGGTGTAACACATAAACAACCACTCTTTACAGTTTAATCAGGTTTCCTCTGGTTCCAGAAAGGAATTTCTTCAAGTATTGTGCTTGTGCATGAACGACACAAGTTTTCTCCCAAATAGGTCATTCAAGAAAAATATATGACAATCTTTTCTTTGGATTAAAAATGTAAAAGATAAATAAGATACCACAATCAAATTTGCTGAACACAGCAAAAGCCAGAATTTAGAGTTGTGTCGATAACTGTAAAGGTTTAATCTCCTACTGAAGTTGCTCTGAATGATTGTCAACCACTCCTAATGACAAAAATTGGATGACAACGCCACAGATCGCCTGATGAAAAACATGTCTATGAAATATTTCAAAACTATTTCACAAACAGAAATGATTTTTGGGGACACTTGACAATTAAGTAAGAGCTCTAGAAGCAATAGACAAAACATGCACCATAAAATATCGTAAGAGAAACAGTACTTACTTAATTATCTGAAGAAGATATAGTCTTCTAAGGTTGGTACATCCAAAACATCTGTACACCGTGTGCGACCTCAATGTATTTACAAATTCAACAAATGTACAGAACTGAAAGTAGCCAAAAATCAAGCCCAGAAAATGCCAGCATAAAACTCGGCAGCTTTTGCAAGAGCAGACCTTCTTCATAAAGATCCATTTCTATTATAGGACAAAAAACTTTGAACTTGTCTGATCATGTAAAATGCGACATACCAGTATAACCTCTTTGTTTGTTTAGTCAGTCAAAGTATCTGCTACAAATAGCTTCATCTAATGTAGTACTAGTATCACTTGCAACTTCAGTGCCTTCTGCAAATAAAAGAGAATTTTTGTTACAATGAGCATTAAAATTAAAAAGACAATTTTATTTCAACAATTAAAAGCCATGCAAGAGACTAGGAGGTGTACCTTGAGGTTCTAAGCTGCCCTCCCTCATGGACAAAGCACCAATTTTGCAACACCATGTATTTCTTGACCATGAAAAGCTTCTTCTGCATCATGAGAGTATTTGAAAACAACTTGAGCACAGTTTTCTTTTATCTGAATCTCAGTTCTTTCCACTATGAGAGGTCCATAAGAGATGTAAAACTCGATTAAATCAGCTGCAGAAGGGAGAGCATCAGGTTCATTGAAATACAAAACCAGTGCAGTTGGTGTCTCTTTTTCGATCGTCTTCTTCTTCTTTTGCACCTTGTTCTGAGAGCTTCCTTTCCTCTTACCTTGGAGTACAATATCAGAATACATTAGAGAATAGGAAGGCCCAGAGCCTGCTGCTTTTCTTTTACTACCTCTTGTTCTTCCCAAAGGATCCGGATACTTGGAATAACTAGATAAGCGATAAGCCCTAAAAGTAGTGAAGAAACGTATAATCTTAGGAATAAAACTGTAACCACCCGTAGGGTCTCTAGCAAGCAGGCAGAGTTGTGCCAGCATTTCCTTTGAAGAGGAATACTCTTCATCAGCAACTTCCTCTTCTCTGGAGGAACACTTTTCATCAACAACTTCCTCTGTTTTCTCCTGTACAAGCTTACCTTCAACCTTCAAATTCTTTGAGTGTTTAAAGGCCTTCAGTTGAGCTACAGTTTTTCTAAGCTCCAGTCTATTGAACTGTCCAAGTGGGCACTGAGCATAAACCCAGAGTTGCTCAAGAAGAGAATTGGGTTGAAAAGTATTCACAATTATGGACCTATCAACAGGAGGCCTCGACGTTCTTCTCCTAATCCCAGAATTGTCAACTTTCTCTTTCTTTAAATCAGTATAAGTCTCATCCACAAAGCATTCACAGGTCATACCAAGCTTAACGTGCGTCGAAACTTCTTCAAGAATTTCATCAACTCCTTTCACAAATGACACTGCACGACTCTTCTTCTCCATCTTTGAGAAATTTTCTTGTAAATGCTTCAATTGGGACTCGGGCAGCCAAGCAAATGTTCTGTCACCAAAGAATGCAACCAAAAAAAGATCTTCAGTATTCCTCCTACTCGTCCTCTGAACATTTGCCAGATTCCTCAATGCCATTTTTGACGCATATTTTGAATCAAAGATTTGCCCTGGCCACCAAGCACAACCGGAAACTTGGCCCCAAACCAAATCGCCAACATAAAACTTTGCCTCCTTTGTTTCAATAAAGGAATCATCTTTTTTTACGGTCTCCACTCAATCAACAGAACCCCCTTTCTCCTCTCGATTGCAATTACCATTTTGATTTTGAGACTCGTTACCAACATCCGTTACTGGTTTGTTATCTTCTAGGGTTTCGACTGGGGGTGCATTGGAGCCCTCAAGGCCATGCTCATCGGCCTCGCTAGCGTTTAAGCCCATGAATCGGAAAAAAGTATAAAAACCTGCAAACCCTTTCTTGTTCTTGTTTGAAATGATAGCATCTGTTAGTAAACAAGAAGCCCTATAATCATTCATTCTTGATAATAAGAAATATTTTTTAGGATAAATACAAAGAAAATCATTCATTTTCCCCTTTGCTTCTGTAAAGGGATCATCAATTTTAATGCTCTCTGCTCCAACAACAAAACCCCCTTTCCCAATTGAAACATCTTTAAAAGAAACCTTGGAAATCCTTTTTGGTTCTTGATCAAAATGCTACAATCTTTAGTGAACAACAAGCTAGCCATAACTTTTTACCCAATTTCAGATGGAGAATTAGAAGAATAAAACCCTACAACCATTTACTCTCGATATTAACAAGTACTAAAAGAAACCCCAACAATTCTTTCTTCGTTCTTGATTAGAAATGGTATTATGGTGTGCAATTTTTACAAAATTGAGGATTAAAATGAAAAAAAGGAAAAATGATTTGAGCTCCGTACCTCGTTTCTGCAAGTGACGAGGAGGGGAGTGAGAGCAGTTAGTGGAAGTTAGTCGTTGCTCAGGGGATTTATATGAGTGAAGATCACGTTACCGTCCGTATCGTTACCCTCATGCAATTGTGAATTATTCACTGTTCGGTGATTCACGGAGAAGAAAGGGTGGTGACCTGATCCAAGTTCAAATATGGGGGTTTTTGCACAAATCCGTTTCTAATCATACTAAACCAAATCTATTAAGATTCGTTTTGATCAAAGTTCATAATCTTAGTTTGACAGCTTTACTGGCCGTTTGTTTCCATGCAATTTAGGGCCCATTTGGTTTGATAGAAATACCGAAAGTAGAAAATATATCAAAGAAATAATTTACAAGTTTACACAAAGTAGGAAGTAGTAGAAGTAATATTTTTTTTTATCTCACATATATTTTTAAGGTAGTGGAAATGATATTTCTTATTCTCCATTTCCTTTTTTTCGGATGACAATGAAAAGTTATTAGGAAATAACTAATAAAAGAAATATTAATAAGAAAAGTTATTTATTTCCCACTTAATACATATTTCACCTACTTTCGGGCTACTTCAGAGCATTGATGAGTGGAAAAACATTTAGGAAGTAGAAATGACACATAAGCGAGCTAAATTAGATATCTTCTTTTGCTACATATGTTGATAAAACACTTACCTAAGTTTCAATTTTTTCGGATACGACGGTAAGAAAAAATCAATTGACAGAATTAGTTTAGTTCTAATGGAAAGTTCTTAATTCATCAGTCATTTTCTTGATTCATCAGTCATTATAGATAGCACTAAAAAAAATAGAATTCCAAATTACATAGGCAGAAAAAAATGGATTCATATGTTGGCTGTGACATCAACCAATCCTGTGATTCTGAATCAATGGATTCAGTGCAATTTGTGAGTTGAATTAGGATCTAGTCCATTTTGGAGAAAACGGCTTGATACCAACTTTTACTTCATTTTAGATTTTTTCTAATTTTATACTTATTTAAAACCATCGGATTCAGTTCAGTAATAGGTTGGGTAATTGCCCATAATATCTCAAATCAGAAGAAAAAAGTGTCCCAGGTCTATCGAAAAACCTTTATTTTCATTTTTGATTTCGAGTCCAACTCGATTCGAAGAAAAGAAACTTCCCTTAGCCTTTTAGGTTCTATTCTATTTTTTGTTTTTCCATATCAAGAAGTTTCATCTTGTAGTTCGATCACGAACAAGAAAGAACCTTTGTTTTGGATCTAATATAACAATGGTTGCAGTTTCATCTTGTAGTTCGATCACGAACAAGAAAGAACCTTTGTTTTGGATCTAATATAACAATGGTTGCATTGCGAATAGAATAATTATTGTTCTAACTGTTAGACCCTAGAGGGGGGGTGATTAGGGTCTTATGCTAATCTAATCCGATTTAAATACCAATTAAAATTAATTAATACTGTAGGCATATAAAATTGCTTATAGGTCCCCTAGCATAGCTCGGCACAAACCGACGAACCAACGAGGCGACGAGATCGACGAATCGCACGGAAGCGACGGAATGCATCCCTACGCGTTCGGAATCAAGCCAAGTGTTAAGGAATCAACGAGCCATCCAACCGAGAACAGACTCGGACGAATCACGATCGAATCAAGATCAGTTTCGGACTCGAACTCAGAAGCGGATTTACTGCCAAATCAGGAATCCTGCCGGATTGAAGAGTGAACTCGGAGCTTGAAGACCAGAAGACTTGCACCATTCAGATCTGATCCTCGGCGACCATCCACGTCAGAAAAGGCAGGATCTCGAGAGGAAGAAAGAACAGATCTGAGATCTACACGAGGCTACACTCCAGATCTAAGCTTGGTCTTAGATCTCGAGATCCGAGCGATTATTCCCTTGGTGGATTAATCCCTCCCGGCTATTATTCCCTTCGTGGAATAATACCCGCATACTCGTGTAGATCCGACCGGATCTAGATCGCGCGGTGGTCCACGGATTAACCCCGGCGCAGGCAAAGAACCCACCAAAGCGAGCGACCGCAAAACAGGAGCTCGTGATTTGTTCACAGAGGAGAGTTGTAATTTTTCTTTATTTTCTTTGATTTAGTTGTAACCGGATCTATAAAAGACCGGATCTTTGTAACCCAAGATGACAATCATATCAATGAAAAAGAAAACAGTTTTCCACGCGAACAATCTGGCGACCACAGTGGGAGCCGACGATCTCGCCAACGAGATCGATGCGTCGCAGCCGCGGATTGCAATCCCGGTCGTGGAGGAGGTCGAGTACGAGTTCGACCAAGCCAAGTTCGAGGAGTACGTGTCCTCGTCCGGCTCTATCTCCCCCCGCAAGTCCAAGAAGTTCTCCTCCGGGAGAAAAGCTCGTTGGTTTGAAGCTGCTCGGGAAGCCCACGAAGCTCTCAACCCAACTGACGCCGAAGTTGCGTCAAATGAAGTTCCACCGACCTCCAATCAGGTCAACCCAACTCCCGCCAACGCCTCCACTGTTCAGGGCGTTGTGACTCTCTCAAAGAGAGCCCGCCAGAGGCGTCGTCAACGCCTTGCGCGGCAATTCGCTAAGGCGATGGAGTCTACGGACGGATTCCGCTACCACGCGGAGTAGAAGAACAGAAGAGGCAAACAGCCTCAACCACCAATGAACGGCGACTCTTCCAAGCCGCCAAAGAAAGAATGGGTCCGCGTCAAACAAAACCGTTCGACGCTCGAGGAGCGCATTCGCAAGCGCCGCGCGATGTCAGCGCAGGCACGGGCTCAAGCTCAGGAAGCCCGTAGAAAGCTGCAAAAGGAGGTGGAGAAGAAGCCACCACCAACACGCCAAGTCTGGAAGCCTAAGTCTGAAGTGGCGACTCAGGCCAAAAAGCAACCATTGCAGCCTTCTAAGGAAGGTCAAACTCCGGCGAGTCAACCAAAGTCGCCGTTAATCCCAATAACTTCTCCGGGGGATCATGCAGAGTCATCCCGCAAGAAGAAATCAATTTTGGAGCGCCTCGGTCCAGTTCCTGACGTGAAAGGCAAAGCTCCAATTCACAAGCGTTTGGGCCTGATAAAGGAGCCCAGAACGACTCAACATACTGGGGGTCGCCATCACCTCCAGCATGACAAAGAGTTCAAGGCAGCTGCGCGCACCAATTTGCGCATTGAAGTCTAAGAGCACGCCGAAAATTCACGCCCAAACAGGCATGTTTTGAGACGGGTAACCTTTGAAAGCCCAAAGAAGGCAAGTCACCCTCAGATGGAAACATTATCATCTGATAGTGATAGTGTTATACCTGAGAAGGCGTGCCCGCACACGATAGGTTACTCCGACTGTCAAAATGACGAGTTGTACTATCGTGCTAGGGGTACGAATAGAACCAGGAAGAGGAGTCCCCGAGAACAGGAAATTCAATGTCCCTGTTCCAAACTCATTCGGGCGGTATTGTCTGAATGCAATTGCATTAAGGCGGTCCCCGAAAGAGCTTCAGTTTTTGAAAGACTCAGTGCGGAGACGCCCAAACCAAGGCCTAGGCGATTCCAACGAAGAAGAAGGATGATTGAAGACGGAGAATTTCCGAGGGTCACCACCAACATGACGAGCAAAGGGACATCGGCACGAGAAGATTTCGAGTCGATTCTGAGAGCCTCCCGGCCTAGAACCCGTCTGCAGTCCGGAACCATCGAGCGAGCAACCTATGGTAGGATTCGGACAAGACGCCCTTCAGAAGATGAAGAATCTGATGCCGGCTCCGCGGTGGCATCAGATAATACAGTATCCAGCGAGGGACAACCCCGCGAGGCCCTGATGATAAGTGCGGAGCAGATGGCCAAGATGCTTGAAGACGCTTTGGCTAAGCAGAAAGAAAGTTTTAAGTTTGAGATGGAGATGGCCATGCAGCAGATGAGAGAAATGCATGACCAACAAATCCAAGCATTGGCGAACCAACAAGGCGAGCAGAATCATCGTAACCCGATTAATGTGGAAGATGAGGATACAAATGCTCGTAACACCAATGATCCTCCCGTCAACGCAGGGGGTGGTAATGAGAATGCTGGCGAAGAAACCGGCGAAAACCTGAAGATCAAGAACCTCGAGAGCAAAATCAACACATTGATCTCCGCTCAAGAGACGAAGAAAACAGGCATTCCTTGCCCATACCCAAGAGAATGGGAATCGATCCCATATCCGGCGAAGTTTAATCTAATTAACTTCACGCCGTTTAATGGGATGGGTTCACCTACCCAGCATTTGATTTACTTCAAATCGCACTTGGGGGTGATCTCTGGTAATGAGCCTCTGATGGTGCGGTCATTCGTCGGCACTCTTCGCGGAGCCGCCTTCGATTGGTATCGCCGCCTCAAGCCAGGCAGCGTAAACAGCTGGGATGACATGGAGACCAAGTTCCTGGCCAACTTCTTCGACGACGACACCGAGATATCTATCGGATCGTTGCTCGATGAGAAGCAGAAGGACGGAGAGTTAGTCGATACCTTCGTCAAAAGATTCCGGAACAAGGCGATGAATTGCCGGGACCCGATCACAGAGGAATTCATCCTCCAAACTTGCCACAACAACCTTGCGTTGGACGTGTTGGAAGCAATGGGAACAGCACCGTCTGACACTTGGAAGGATCTGAAGGCCCGAGGGGAGCAGGCTGAGCGATTCCTTAGAAGGAAGAAGGCCGAGAGGAACCAACCGACGGTTAATCCGCTGGACTCAAATTTCGCCTCTCGTGGTAAGGGCAAAACACCTGCAGCTACTGGTGGTGCTAATCAAGCGTCACAACAGCAATCCCGAAGGCAGCAAAAGACTTCGGGTCCGAGACTCCAAAGAGAGTATTCCTTCAAGGACGAAGACGTTCCAGCCATCTTCGAATCCCTCCTTGAAGGTAACAAGATCAAGCTACCACCTATCACAAATCAGGAGGAAGCTGACAACACTACGGACCCAAAGTACTGTGCATACCACAGGAGGGTCGTTCATCCCACCAAGGATTGCTTTGCTCTCAAGAATAGCATTCAGACCTTGGTTGAAGCCGGCGTCATAACGCTAAGGTAAGCCAATTGAGAACGGCAAAACTCCA